TAAGCCTAAAAACAAAATCACCAATCATTAAAACCAACCAGTCAACACACGATTCAAAACCCTTTCAGAAAATTTTAAAATTATCTCAGAAAACAAATATTTGACTCCACAGACTTTTCAAATAATTTCAAATCTCAAAAAGTAATCACAACATGAAATCAAACTTGCAAATTTTACTGAAAGATTTAGAAATTAATCAAGCAAGTTCATGTGTGTGTGTGAAATCCAATCTAATCCATCTTCAGTTAAATTTTAACAGATCATTGTCTAAACCTTATTGATCAAAAAGTATCAAGATAAAATTGTTTTGAACAATTTTTTTTTAAACAAGGCGGCTTTCACTCTAAAGAGTAGTTAGCAATTCCCCAACTCAACTCATCTCCACTTTTCGCTTCAATTCACAGTTTAATGGGAGCTTTCGATCAAATCTCAATAGGTAGCCTTTTCCTTAGCAATTTATTCAACATTTTTTTCTTCTTTTTCTTTCAAGCTAAATATTTTTTTCAATCTTTTTTATTTTGTTTTTAGCTCCTATTTTTTTTTTTTAAAACAATAACCTTTATACCTTTTGTAAACAATAAACCCTAGTCAACAGATCAAAAGATTTTCAACCAAACTTTTTAAAGATGGACTAGTGCACAAAAGTTTATGCACTTAAGAAATTCAAATCTAAAAATCCCCTAAACAATGCAAATCATCTTTCACTGTATAGATTTGAAACTAAGAATCTATGTTTATTCAAATTATCATGTGTCTCTATTTGCATTCAAAGATAGATCATAAATTTTTCAAAAGAACTTTCACATGCATACAAAGAAGATCATGATCAGAAAATCAAACCCTAACCAAACCCTAACAAATGATCCAATGGCAACAAAATTTTTGTTTTAAACATATGCCATGATCATTGAATTTTGTAGAACTCAGTTTGAGGGTAAAGTCCTCTTGGAAACTTGTTCCAAGGACTCAACAGGCACATAATTGATCAAATCAGACTTTTTGATCCACACAGTTCTCACTCTTACTTCCTGAAATTCTTTTCTCTATTTACTTCTTTCTTAGGCAAAATTTCAGTTCTAAAAACCTTAGGTGACAATTTCTTTTTCCCTTTAGAACGCGCCTTGTTCTTAGCATGAAAATTTTGAGACTCAATTTTAAAAAAATCTTTCTTTTTCCTATGAAGGCATGAGTTATACTTATGTCCATTTTTCCCACAAAAAGTGCAATGCAACAATTTAGGCACATAAGACATAGCAGAATGTGATGCATCAGGCAAACATGGTTTAGACGTAATAGTAGGTTTAACAAACATTGTTTTACCTTGATTACTAGGAGAACCTTTAACAAATCCTAACCCTGTTTTATCATTCACATTCTTACCCATGTTGATTATCTTATTCAAACTATTTTGACTCATATTGAACCCTTTCAGTTTATCTCTTTCAGATTTCAACTCAATTTCAAGATAATCATTTTTCAAAGCAAGACATTCCTTTAATGAGTTAGCAACACTTACCTTATCCTCAAGAATAATGATCTGTTTCTCAAGCTTAGTGATGACAGACTCGCTTTCAACAGCCTTCATTTTGCCTTCATCAATTTGTTTCTTTAGATCTTCATTATCTCCTTTTGCTTGGATAAGCTCCTTTGCTAGCTTATTGACTGCCTGTTTGGTCTCAATAGTTTCTTTAATCATCTTCTTCAATCTTTCATCGTCCTTTTCAGCTTCTTCAATCTGTTCATCATGAACTTCATTCTTTTCATTATCTGAACTGTCAGAGTTAGATAAATGAACGACATGAGGACCCCTATCAAGAAAAGCGACATAAGAAAAATCATTAGAATCATCTTGAGGAGAATCACTATCACTTAAAGTAGAATTTTCAACCATAGAAACTTTCATTGTTTTTCCTTTATTCCTATCCTTTTGTTCTTTCCTAGGACTAAGACAAACATTGGCTACATGAACTTTGCCACCACAATTCCAGCAAGTAAATTATGTTTCTTTTGATTCTTCTACTTTCTTTTCATTAAATCTAAACTTTGACGTTTTGTCAAAATTTTGAGGATTAGCCTTGTTGTTATTCCTTCTCCTCTGTTGCCTTTGCAAAATTTGACTAAATTGCCTTGACAAGAATGTAATTTCATCATCACAGTCATCATTCACATAATCAACCTGTGTAAATTTTAAAGCAAGATTTTTCTCTTTCTGATTTAAATCAAAATTCTGCATCTCAAAAGTTTTTAACGAACCAACCATCTCGTCAACTCGACAGGTAGTCAAATCCCAATGTTTAGAGATGGTTTCAACCCTAATCTGAAATCTTTTAGGTAAAGACCTTAAGATTTTCTCACAGATTTTTCTATCACTAACTTTTTTCCCTAAGTGACGCAGTTCAGAAATTATTTCAAGAAGACTACAATAAAAGTCAAAAAAGGATTCATCTTCTTTCATCACGATGTTGCCAAATTTATAAGAGAGCAACTGAATTTTGGACAACTTCACTTTTGAAGTTCCTTCATGAGTAACCTGCAAAATATCCCAAACATCTTTAGCAGTTTTACAATCAGAAATTCTAGCATATTCAGATGGAACAATAGAATTAATAATTGAATATAAAGCTTTGCCATTATCATCATTACGCTCAGTTTCAAAAGCAGTAAAAGCAAAAGTATCTTTTAACTCTTTAACTATTTTACCATCCACAGTTGTATCAACTGTTGGAGGTGTATAGCCAGATTCAACTATTGCCCAAGTTTTACCACCAGAATTTTGAAAATAGGCTCTCATCTTTGATTTCCAAAAATTGTAATTATCTCCTTTAAATAAAGGACCACGTTGATTAGAACCACCTCCTTTTAACGCATAAGATATGATGTTGAAAACAATTTTTAAAAAACACAACAAAACTAAACTTTCCAACAAGGATCAACTCAGTTTATAGAGATTAGCTCTGATACCAAATTGTGAGTCGTACGCAGCAAAATGTATATAGGAAAGTTTTTGTTTGTTTTGTAAAACAAATCTGTGTCCTGAACTACTTTACTTATTTTATATTTTAGCAATTAAACAGATAATCACATGCAGATAAAATAAAGCAAAGTATAAAGTTAGAGATGATACCAGGATTTTAGCGAGGAAACCCCAGTTGATAAAATACGTCAACTGTTATGGGCAAAACCTCGTGGACTTGTGTAGTCCAAAGTAAACCAATCCACTATGCTTGGAACAAAGTATACTGAACTTGGACTCTGGCTCACACCCTATCGTTCTACACCACACCAACCGCTGACGATCCTCTAGCTTTGCGACTCCCCGTCCAACAGCAACTTGATCTCAGGCTTACACTTGATATTTGTAGAAGAGTAACAGGTAGATCAAATAGCACTCCTCGAATGCTCCAATCCTTCCAAAGTGTGACTGCGTTTACTTCTGTTCTTCAATTGTCTGAATGATGTAGAAGAAGATCCGCTCTGTCTGATCGATGTTAATACAACTGTATGATCACGATCAGGATTCAAACACCACAACTCTAGACTCACTAGGTGAATATATGTGGGTTCTAGGAAGACACCAGTAAAATCAATTTTGATTTTCTGAGAGAAATAAACTTCCTAAGGCTTTGAATAATATCTGAATTATAATGTAAAAGCCGTGAACCAAACCAATGTATATGACATGGTTTATATAGATTATAGAATAACCTTATCCCTCTGAAAATAAGGTAAATTTCGTGCATAGGATTTGGTATAATTCTAGACCAACTGGGAAATATATCAGAATAAGGAAACTACAATTGTATTGCAAATAGGACATCTTGAACCGGTTCAAGAAAGCTTAACTGGTTCAAGTTTGGCAGTGACTCAAACTTGAACATCTTGAACCGATTCAAGGAAGCTGAACCGGTTCAAAGTTGGCAGACTTGGATTTTGAATTCCTTCAGCCTTGGTTCTTTCTACGGAAATTGTAGACTAACATGGAAAGTGTAGAATGTCCAACCTTGTTTATATTCCTTCCTAATGTAGTGTCCTTACCCTCTTCTTCACAAACTCTTCAAGTTTGGTAAGTTATTTGAACTCCTTCCCAGTTGTGTAATTCATGTTGAACTCGATGACTTGTAGGACAAGTAATTTAAATTACAACTCAACTTGGACTTGTTATGTCTACGATAATTGCCAAAAAATAAATAATATCTCACACTAACTTGTTATAGGAAGACGTCATAATGTTTGTTGTTGCCCATGTGAAGCGTGAGTAATATCGAAGATGACAATTTAGAAGAAATTGATGTTGTAGATGTTTTCATGTATTTTGACGGTATATTTTAATAAATAATTTTAAAAAATTAGGAAAAAAAAATTGTAGCAAGAAAACCATAATTGATTATGCATTTAATTTTGACTTATATGACCTCCCCAACTTCAACATCACCACCTCTCTGAGTCAAATTTCATGTGATCTTCCCCTATCCTTCTTTCATAGTACTTCAAAAAATTTCTAGAAAAAAAAGGGTGTCGAGAGAAATTTTTGTCAAGATTTGGTAATGAATGAAACATTATATTTATTTGTTTAGTTAAAAAAATACACCTTATAAATATATCAGTTATGTTTTCAGGCGAAACTATAGTTTTCAATTAAATATATGGTTCCTTCAATCACAACTGCTTAATATAGTTATAATTTAAGTTTAAAATTTGTGGATAGTGAAGAGCTTTTAGAATATATTCAAGCCTTAAATCTTGATGGTAACATAATAATAAGTCATAAGAGAACAATGCTTATCCAATGAAGAAATGAGAAAAACACTAAATTATAAAATAAATAAAAAGGAGAGAAAAACTCTAAAATTTTGTCAGTCCTATTTTCAACATTAAATATTAGTATATTACTTAATTAAGAGATTCCTATGCAATAAAGTACTATAGTATTGAATTAATTGTTTTATAAAGCCATATATGTAATACGGAATTATATTCTCGACTCGGTTGATGTTTATTAGGAAGTATACCTTCACTGGGCACAAAGTCATCTGTGACTATTCGTGATGACTCTGATGAGATTATTGAAGAAGACTGCACTGTGGAAAGTATGAAAAAGAATGAAGACAAAGATGTGGGCACAAAATCATATGTGACTATTCTTGGTAGCTCTGATGAGGTGGTTGAGGAATTCTGCAGTGTGAAAAGTACGAAAAAGGATGAAGATGAAGATGTGGAAATTGATGGCACATTTTCCACCCTTTCTAAGCTAGATGAAGAGATAGCGGCAATAAAAATAATGTTAGAGACACTACCAGCAAAGTTAGAGGCACTCGAAAAGAAACGTGCACATTATGTCTCACATCTCGAGCTCAAATGATAAGTCTTTGACTGGGGTTCAGTATGGAGTCACCATGCTTGGGTATTTGCTGTGACGTTAGATATGGGGGCATGTTTTCATGTTTTAGATATGGGGCAGGTTGGTAGATATATTAATTGGAGAGAGAATTCATGTGGTTAACCCTATTCATATATAATTAAGGTAAGGATGATGACGATGGTAGATGATGATAGCATTGTGGACCTATAGTACCATCTTGAATTGGGAATTGTCCCTTTGTGTTTTGATGCTTGTTCAAAGTTTATGTTTGAAATCAAAGGTTCAATATAATGATATATATGTTATCTTTTCCTATTTGTTTTTTGTTAATACTATTGATACGAAGATGATGTATCTTTCAAAGGCTTAAAGCTAAAACTTTGATGTGATGATCATAAGCCTGATTGTGTGTTTCTTTTTATTTTGTCTTTTCAGTTAAGGGCTTCATCTTCACAACAGAAACAAGAATATTTTTGTAATTAATTGCTCAGATTACTGCTTCCATGCTAATATGCAAATTATTGGCTTTTGAGTAGAAATAAAATTCCTCTTACAGCCAAAGCTATTGTAGGAAAAAAATTTGCACCAAATTTTCATGGATTAAACATTTAGTTGCACACCATTCCGGTATCGCCGCTCCTAGTCCATAACCACTGTACTGGTTTCAACACTAGCCTTAACTACAGTTATTTTTAAACTATACACTTTATTGAAGTGCAAGAAAAATTATAACTACAACGTAAGCATGAATTATATCACATAATAACCTCTACCAATAATGTTGCAACATTATGAAAATAAAATAGATGTTAAATACATACCTTGCAACTCAGTAAAATCCTTGTACTGTCATAAAATATATATTAAATACATAACTTGCAACTCAAAATAAACCAACACTGTTATGTACTCAAAATAAGCGAAGTCAATTAAATCCAATATGCGTACCAAAGTACATAAAGAAAATGATAAAAGGTACAGGAATAGGAAGCAGTATGAGTAATTATATGAAATATATATATTTTTGCACAAGTATATGAAATAAAATGGATTGTCAAACCATCACCAATTCATTAAACACAAACCCCACAGATGGGCCATGGATATGATATACCTCTGTAGTTGGCCGTCTCCACAGAAGACCCTCGGCATTAAACCCAAACCCAAAACAATCAAGTTGGTTTCTTCAATCAAGTTGATTCCTAAGGTCTGTATCTAAGTTGCAGAGCATCCCAATAGTCCATACTAAACACTGTTCATGATTTTTCGCAATTGAAACATTCATAGATGCGCTTAAAATCAATAAGCAACAACTAAGATCATGAATATATATATAAATATATACATACCTTTATTTATTTCTCTGCTATGATCCGTTTTCAACATATAAAGATTTAATTTAATCTGTAATTAACTCCCTAAAGCCGAACACGAAATCAGCCCTAAAGCCGAACACGAAATCAGCGAGGATGAGTAGAATGAAGACTTGCCTCTAAGAGTTTTGGATCGGAAACTCTTCACCCTTCTTCTCCAATATAATTCTTAATGTCGGCGGCTTTTGGGTCGCCATTGACGCCCCGGTCCTAATTCACGCCACCAAATAATCTCCTACCTCTGCCCCTTGGTCCGGCCTCACCACCCTTCTCCTTCTTCTCTCTCTTTCTTCCTCTTTCTCTCTGTTTCTTTCGCCCTGTTTCCTCTCTGTTTCTTTTCCTTGTTTTTTTCATCTTTACCTGTGTACGAGTTCTCTAAGGAACTCTACAGACCTTAACATATATATAACAAACAAAATAAAACTAATCCTACCCTAACCCAACTACTCTACAGACCCACCATAACATATGGGTACCACTTTTTCCTGCTTCTATTCGCACATATGAGTACCACTTTTTCATCTTCTGATCGCACAGATCATCAATCTGTGCGTAAAGATGAGATCCAGATCTTATCCTATCGATAGGATACCCTCATCTTAACCCGTCAGATCAACTTAATATAGATACTCAAGTCTCATCTTGATGATCACTTCCTTCGCTCTTTGTTATAAGTCAGATTAATGCTGTCAGATATCTTTGTTATATGATGATAGAGAAGTGATAGAGAAACTGAACGTTTCTACTGAAATAAATATCCAATCAAATTATCGATCTTTTCTTTCCCAGTTTTTTCTTTTTCTCTCTCTTCCTCTTCGTTCTTTCTCCTCTCTGGTTCTTTACCAATTCTTCTTATACATCTCCTCTCTTGAGATACACATATCAAAAGTATTCTAGAAACTAGATCCAAAATTCTTTATCCTCGGCTCATTTTTCAAGATTACCTACTTTTCTCTATTCATAAATCTTCCAAGAATAAATCTTTCCAATTCCAGATCAAAACTATGCAAATTTTTTTTTTTTTTTTTTTGGTAAGTAAATATCTACACAAGAGTTGTCATTAATCCAGAGAAGAGAAACGGATGAATTTTCTCAAAGTTTCTATTTGATTTTTATGGATACAAAATTTGAAGGAGAGAAACAACAGCTGTAACTTTTATTTTCTTTTTCTTTGTCTTTTTTTGTTCTGTTTTGGTTTTGTGATTCGGTATTTGCAAAACATGAAGAAATTTAATTTTTTTTTTATTTTATCTTCAATTTTACGAAATCAAAAGAGAGACAAAACCAAAATCAAAGATAAGATTGAATACAAAAGGAAAATCGAGAATTAGAGGAAGAGTGGAGAGAGAAGGGAAGAGGTAGGAGTTATCTTTTTAGAAAATAATCTGACGTGGCTAAGCCACGTTAAATTTGACCTTTTATTAGGTTGTTTGGTTTGGTTCTCTTATCATTTTCCATGATGATATTAATGATGACGACACTAGGACAATAATCAAAGCTTATAGTTAGAAAAATAACAGCTGACCCTCTGCAATTCATGCATTAGCATCAATTAAACATGAGTTGTATCCATACAAGTGTGTGCATTTTACCTGAATGACAATATTGTATGTAAATGTGACAGGGCTAAGGAATGGAAATCAGGATCAAGGAACTACAATGGAGAGTAGCAGCCACTGATCGGTTCATCTTACCGGGGAGGTGCACCTCCAGCTGTTGCTGTTGTACACCAAGTATTGAGTACCATTAAGAAACCAGTTTTTCTGCTGGACATCACATTAATCTTTGTTATATGAACTAGCTCTAATTGTGGCCGTAACATAGGAGAATCCTCCACTTCTCGTCCACCCACATATGAGGCTCCACACTCACCCAACCATCAGGATCGAACTTATGATCCTGAAGCAGATATACTCCTAGATAGAAGCGAAAACGCAATGATCCTCCAGAAGAATCTTCATCGATCTCCATCTCCATCTCCAGTCCTTGTTGTGGATTTCCTTCCAGAGGACATGGAAGAACTCTTCAATACAAAATTCCGAAACCGTGAAATCACTCAAGGTAGAGTTTTTTATCCCACTTTTTGTATAGAAGAAAATCTTTCATTTTTTCAAAAGTTTAGGGATATGGGATGGGATTCGTTCATCAACATTGATGAATCATATTACCCAACTTTGTTTAAGGTTTTTTACACTCAATTCACATTTGTCAATCGCTGCTTAGCCACAAATGTCAAAGGTGTAAAACAAGAGTTATGCGGGGTGCGGAAACAGTTGATTTTAATTATGATTAACACCTTTAATGACCTAGATCTGATTATTAGGTCAACTTGCTTAACTTATGAATGATTAAATTGCATGATCAATTAAACATCCACAATCATAAATATAAATACTGAAAAGTAAAGCAAGTTAAGTTTAGAGAGATTGCACCAGGATTTTTAGCGAGGAAACCCCAGTTGATAAAATGCGTCAACTGTTATGGGAAAAACCTCGTGGACTATGCAGTCCAAAGTAAACCAATCTACTATGTTTGAAACAAAGTATACCGAACTTTGACTCTGGCTCACACCCTATCGTTCTACACCAAACCAACCGCTGACGATCCTTTGGCTTTGCGACTCCCCGTCCAACAGTAACTTGATCTCAGGCTTACACTCGATATTTGTAGAAGAGTAGCAGGTAGATCAGATAGCACTCCATGAATGCTCCAACCCTTTCAAAGTGTGATAGCGTTTATTTATGTTCTTCAAGATCTGAACTCGATTGTAAAAGAATTAAATCCTACTTCTCATCTGGAATATCTGAATCTTCAGTATAGCTCCGATTCGGATGAGATAGAGAACAAAACCACTAAATCACTCATGAATATATGTGTATGCTCTCATAAATAAATTCAGAATAATCAAATTTGATTTTCTGAATTTTCTCTCTCTAGAGGGCTTTCTCAAAATATAGAATTGATTTTCCCTCAAGCCATCATAAACTAATGTATATGACAAGGTTTATATAGAGTTTTGAAAGTCCTAATCCCTCAGAAAATATGATAAATTTCGTGCATAGGACTTAAAGGAAGCTGGGATAAAAAAGGAAACATCAGAAGAAGGAAACTGGAAACCTGATGCATAAGACTTCTTGAACCGGTTCAAGATGGAAAGTAAGGAATCCCACGGATTCTAGAACCGGTTCAAGATGGTCAGTTGAAGATGCAAGATTTCATTTCTTCTCTCCTTTCCTATCTCTCTCTCTCTAGAATTCTTTTTTTTCACTTTCCACCTGTAATGGTCTATTTATAGGCCATCACCCTTATTGCTGTTAACTGATTACATTGGGCCAATATTCAAAAGCTCTCTTCCTTCTGGGCTTAATCTTCCAATGGGCTTGACCTTCCTCGGTAGATCCCCCAGGTTCGGCCCATTCCAGGGCGCTTTGGCATAGATCCTACTTCAATCATTCGACCCGATCCCGTTTCAACGAACCATATCTGGCCCATGCCACTTGCCGCATCCTCAACTGCCCCCATAATTACCCCTTATTGATTAGGGGGTAATTATTAGAGGCTGCTAATGATGACCTAACGGCTCGAGAAGATCGTGTGGGAGAATGGACGGTTGGATTTAGGGATCGGCGTTTCGAGATTCAAAAAAGAAACTCATCGCTTTCCTGACTCCTCAGCCCTTGGGCTCACCTTGTCTTTATAAGCTTCATAGATTCTCCATCGATCCTCTTTACAGTCTCTATCTCACCTTTTGCTGTTTGAATCCTCTCCGGCGATCTCTCGCTAAAGATCCTCCTTCCAGTGGCTTTGCAGTACTTTCTGCCGTTTTTACTTTCTAAGGTTAGTTTTATTTGCATTTTTCTTTTGGAAGACTTCTTTCTCCTCCTCGGAATCTTCATTCACTCTCACCATGACAGTAGATTTAGACGTTCTTCGCATAAAACTTC